CTATTACGTATGAACAAGTACAGTATCATTGAACAACTCTGATTGGCTGATGAATTGTACAATCGGGCGATGTTATCGCCGGCCCCGGACACACTAGGCGATGAAATCGGGCGACAAAATCGGGCGATAAAATCGCCCCATAATATCAAAACGTTTTGATCTATGCGATGAAATCGGCTAGTGTGTCCGGCCCTTTAGCGGTAACCACGAAGACTCTCTCCTAGCTGCCTGATCGTCTGCTGTGCTTCACTAACTTTGCTCCACTCCCTCTCCGATGACTCAGCAAACTTTGCCTTACATGCCCCGTGGTTACTCACTAGTATACTCTGGTCTGTCTAGTGCGCTGTAGCTGGTGCGGACTTGTTCTTGCTGCCAGTGGTCTAGTGTAGTGAGCGTTGTAGCGTGCACGCGGGCTGCGTATACGTAAGAGACAACATGGCCTCTCCATTCAGCTTTGACAATGACGTCTTCTCTAGTTTTGCGTTTTACGGGACGGCCAGCGTTGTTAAGATGATGATGATGTCCATTCTTACATCGAAGCAAAGGATGAAGAACAAGGTATAGGTGACCGGATAGTGGGCGGCTGTTTGTATAAGCTTAGCGCTGTAGCCTAGCTGTATATAGATATTCGGAGAAGATCGAATGCTGACGCTACTGTAGAATGTAGGAACTAGGACGCCGGTGCACGCACGTCAACACACACCCACGTCAGTTTGGCGCGCGTGCGTGCGTGCGTGCGTGCGTGCGTGCGTGCGCGTGCGTGTGTGCGTGCGAGTGCGTGCGTGTGTGTGTGTGCGTGTGTGCGCGCGTACGTGCGTGTGCGCGTGCGAGTGCGTGCGTGTGTGCGTGCGTGCGTGCGTGTGCGTGTGTGCGTGCGCGCGTGCGTGCGTGCGTTCGTGTGTGCGTGCGTGCGTGCGTACTATACTGTGAGCGTGGTGGTGGCGGCGGTTGTGGTGGTGGGCGTGGCAGGGACGGACTATCCTGCGCTGCCAGTAAAGTAGATGCCATATATTAACTGTAACACGGCGCCCCGAAAATGGCATAAACTATTTCTATCCGACACTACTTCAGTATATGCTCTATATTTGTATAATTGAGTCTGACAGATATGTTCATTAGATGTAAGTTATCTGACACGAGAATCTATGCATGAGGCCTCAGAATTATGTTTCCGCACGTTAATTGGTCACTGATTGGTTTAGGCCGCTGGTCACGTGACATGAAACGAATTGGTAGTGTGAAAACCGAGTTCTCTTCCTTTGTATGTGTATTCCAATATTTCCGTCATACAGCACGCGTAGTGTACCAGCTATAGGCCCGTAAGCTGGGAAAATTCCTAGAGGGGGGGGGCCAGAAATAAATCACATATGTAGGACAGGATTGTGTTAAAGGGATAACTGTTTTTGTAATTTGTAATTATTTTTGTAAACTGTAATGTTGTTACCCTATTTATTACTGTAATACATCTATTTTCAGGTTACTTACAATTATTACCCAAGCTTTCTTTGTTTTGCTCCAAACTCTAGGGGCCAACTGCGCCCAGAGGCGATGACCCTGATTATCTGATAACACATTGACGTATTCGGTACTTTTGGAAAATCATCAACACGATTGACACGTCTTTAATTCTGAATTGTTTTCATTGAAGGCTTGGGTGAACCCGGAAGATTTTGAAGTGCGAGGGTATGAAGTTAAGCCGACAACATCGGATCTGGATGTAGAGAGAGTGCGAAGGTATGCGATCTCCCAGCTAACACATAACGTTCCTCTAACGTTCCCGGAATGCTGTGATTCGGTTAATTACGTTAATAACGTTCTAGGAACGCTTCTGTCACTTCTTTAAAGGACCTTTTTCTAGTTAAATATCAATCAGCTACTGACATATCATGATGGTGGTATTCAACACCGGCTGTGTGTTTTCTTGAACTACCGCTACCGGGCTAAAGCCGTGAGCGTGTATCCGCCACTCGAAGTGGGAACATATATATCTTTAACTGCATCCTGAAACGGGTTACGTAAACGTAAACTGCCAAGTAGTACTTTTATACTATTAGATGCAAAAGTAAATTGCAGTGGTGATTGAGTAAAGCACACTGACAAGCTCTCGTTCATTTCTCGTAACTCGTAACTTCTCTCATAACGTAACGTAACGTAACGTACCGTAACATAACGTACCGTAACTTCAGCGAGGTGAGAGTGAATCGACGAGACCGCTCTCGAAGGGGAGGGGCGTCGTTACGGAAGGAAGTTCGTTATAGGAATTAAACCAAAGAATTTACGAGAAAAGTTACGTTACTAGAGTTACGATACGTTACGGTACGTTACAATACGTTACGTTACGATATGTTACGGTACGCTACGTTACGTTACGGTACGGTACGTTACGTTACGGTACGGTACGTTACGTTACGGTACGGTACGGTACGTTACGGTACGTTACGTTACGTTACGTTACAATACGTTACGTTACGTTACGTTACGTTACGGTCCCGAAGCCGTTCCAACCCAACGCCGATCTTCAATGTTCCAGGAACCATCAGAACGACATTGAGAACATCATTCCGTTCGCGATCATCGGCCTTCTCTACGTCGCTACGGGCCCCTGCGAAACCGCCGCCAAGTGGCACTTCCGCGTGTTCGCTGCGGCGCGCCTCGCACACACGATCGCCTACCAGAGCGGTCGCTCGAGGCCGCGCGGTCTCTGCTTCGCCGTCGGCAACGTGGCGACGCTATCCATGGCGGTGCAGGTGCTCATGCACGCCGCCAAGAGCTGGTAACACCTCACGCACTCGCGCGCGCACATGCATGCACACACACACGTGCACATGTACACACATGCACACACACGCGCGCACGCACACACACACACACACACGCACACACACACACA